TGCTTGTTTTTTATCTAAACCTTACTTCTCCCCAAGGCCTCTCAGCAAATTCAGTGACACTTCAGGAAAGGGTAATTGAACCTGCAGCACATCTACAGCAAAATGCCATTTTTAAAGGGTGTAATGAAACATACTGCAGAGGCAGGATTTTTAAATTTACTGTATGGAAAGTCATTCCCTGTAGGAATGAGAGATCTGAGGATTTGGAACTAAATCATATTGGCTGCCACTTCTTCAGCCCTCCAGGCAGTAGCTTTCCCCAGTAAACTTTAGTTTTGTGTGACCATAAACCTCTCCCCCATATCCAACAAGAAAATATTCTGAGCATTTCAAAGAAAAAGAAAATAAATGGAATGCACCAAAAATATACAGCAGAAGTGCTTCTTGTTCCATATGCTTCCATCCTTAACTCTGCAGATGGTGTTATATCCCCTCTGCACCATGCAAGCTTCCTTTTCAGACCCCAGTGCAGGGAGATAATGAAATGTAGATACAGAGAAGATATCTTGTAGAAAAGAAATAGCTTACAGAATCTTAAGTCTATTTATGTTTCATATTTCCATTTTTCTGTTTTCATAGCATTCCTTTTCTTCCTTTTTTTTTCTTCCTTTTTCTCTTCCCTTTTTTCTTCCTTTTTTTTCTTCCTTTTTTTTTTTTTTTCAAAAGCTATCTTTGATACCTGTTTAAACCATTCAGTCCAGAGTCAGCTAATTATTTTCTCACTGGTCACAAAAGTCAGCAGTGATTGATTAAGAAAAAAAAAAAAACAAAAAAACAGCTCTACCAGCAATAAAAGCATGCCTGTTAAAAAATTACAGATGTATTACATTAAAAGCTTCAATTCAGCCAAACTTTTTTCTGTTACTTCTGCTCATTTCTGGAGTCTTTGGAATATAGGACATTTTTTATGGCTATGGTAGGTCTGGAGCAAGATGAGATACTCTGATTATGTAAGAAAATAATAGGTAATCAGTTTTCTTAGGGGGATACCATTGTTTATCCTGCTAAATGAAAATGAATGTATGATGTGTCTCTTTTCTAATGCATCCTTTCAATACAGAAAGGACATGGAGGTTCTGGAGCAGGTCCAAAGAAGGACAACAAGGCTTGTGAAGAGCTTGCAGAATATGCCCTATGAGGAGAGACTGAAGGAACTGGGGCTGTTTAGTCTGGGCAGAGGGAGGCTGGGGGGAGACCTTATTGCTCTCTTCCAGTATCTGAAAGGTGCTTACAGCGAGAGTGGGTTTGGTCTCTTCTCACTGGTGACAGGACGAGGGGAAATGGCCTCAAGTTGCACCAGAGTAAGTTTAGTTGGATATCAGCAAAAACTTCTTTACAGAAAGGGTTGTTAAGACTGGAATAGGCTCAACAGGGAGGTGGTTAAGTCACCATCCCTGGATGTGTTTAACAACCATTTGGAAGTTGTGCTCAGGGACATGATTTAGTGGAGGGTTGTTAGAGTTAGGGTAGTATGGTTAGGTTGTGGTTGGACTTGATGATCTTGAAGGCCTTTTCCAGCCTAAGCAATTCTATGATTCTTTGATCAGAACAACTTGTGATTACCAGAGTAACATGTTTAGTGAAGTTTGTATTATTCCATACCAAACCATGGCATCTGACTTTTTCAAGTGAATGTGATTTTCTTTACAAAAAACAATAGAGTTTTTGGTCTGATGCAATCATTGACCAAATCTCAACACAAATATAATTTTTGAATCACCTGTAACCAAACATTCTCTCTCAGTTTCAGTGCAGGGGAAACACTAAACACAGTGCTGATTTGAAGCAAACTATTTTACTTTGCCCTGAAATCTAGTGAAATTGTTACTATCTTTATGTTAATGGTGTAGCCTCTCCAAATACAAAGCATTGCAACTATTCTGCTAGAACTTCTCTGTACTGAGAACATCAATATCTTTGTACTTTCCTACGTATGCAATACTATAAGAGAGAATTCAGTTTCTCACTCATGGCAAGAACTCTTCCTTCTTGAACTATGAGGGCTGTATGCTGTGTCAGAGAAAGAAATTGTGACTTTACAATGTGGGTGGACAGCATATGGTTGTATCTCTGTTGAATAAGATTTCTGTGCCACAAAGTTCCTGTTAATAGCATGTTTGTCAAGCTTATTTGCTTGCATCCTTTCTGTAATAGGACTAAAAGTAGCTCATGAATGGCAGTAGAAAGTATTGTATTGTGAGGGTTAGGGGAATAGTAAACTTTTAGTATAACACCAGCACTCCATTCTCTAGGCACAGCTAATACATAGGTTGCTCCAAAAATAATGCCTCCTATTTATTTCCATGTAAAGTACAATTGATACTAAGAATGCAATAGGACTATTTGATAGAGAAAATTCTCAGCTGCAAAAAACTTGTTTTCAACACATTCATCACCATTTGTTGTTTGTTTTCATCAGCAGTGAAAAAAAGCCTGCATGCTGAGCTCACAAAAAATCTGCACCAGCGGAAGTGACCCAGTGTGAGTGTCACCACTGCTGAAATGCACCACCAAACACCTCATTGTGCTCATATCCACTCTTTGGTCTGCAAAAATGTTCAACTAGCATTGATGAATGTCAATGAATGTCATTTTTTTTCCATGTGGAGGAATTCAGTGATACACATTGGCTTCATACACACTTCCACATCAGAAGCCATCCTGTCAGCCTGCCCCTCTGCTGCCATCTGTCACATGGCGACAGATGTAATGGAATATTGGTGATGAGGCTCAAACTCTTCTGCCATACCATCACCATCTGCCTCTGTCATCATGGGCCAACACAATAAAATATGAGGCATTACTTTCAGAGCAGCACTTGCATTTCATTATATTCCTGGGAAAAAATATTTAGAAACTGGGCAAATACATATTTAAAAAAATCCAAACAAAGTGAAGATGCTTAAATATTACTTTTTCTGTGCTTGTACTATGCAATAAAATTGCTGTTGTGTATTTGGAATTTGATGTTGTTTCCAGTAGACATATTCTTCAAGATACAAGAGAGAAACAAAGTCCTCTATGTATGGGCTTTCAGAGGGGAGTCCTGTCTTTTTCTGTCTTTCATAATTAAACAATGTGAATAAGCTGTTTAAAGACAGACTAGTGAAGAACTTCAGTAATTTACATACATCAATTAAACCTAAAGTAATTAAAATGTGAACCATTTGCTGTACTCTTCTTCTCAAAAAGGTATTTTTATGAAAACTTGGCTTGAGTGGAAAAGAGTTCTATTTCTTTAAAAGAAAGTTTAGTAAAATAAAATCTTTGACATTTCTTAATGAAGATAGCTTTAAAGTTCCTTATTATACTTAATCTAAAACTATTGTTCCATTAATCAAAAAGCAGTCTAAATGTAAAGCAATGTAGTTAGCTTCCTTTGAAATGTATGACTATTACAATTTTGATTTTAAATATTATGATGTAGCGACCAATGTATCCTATTTTTTATAGAAAGCTCTCTTTTTTTGTTTAGGTCACTCTATTTAAAAAAAAAAAAAAAAAAATTGAACAAAATACTTCAGCATTTTGAGTGACTTAAAACATTCAATACAGTAAGAAATTCAATACAGGTAAGAGATCCATCATTGTCCTGACAGTGACCTGACAAGTGAAAGCCCAATCCATCTTAAAAGCCCAATTCCATCTTAACAGAAGGAATTTAATACCATGGAAGATAGTAATAATAATATTTAGTGTTGGATTTTCTCTAAAGGTACATCAGGTATCCTTTTGCCACTGGCTTCAAATCACCTTTAAATCATTTAGAGTTTTTGTTTCCAGTCTCTGCTTCTTACGCAGCTTAAAAACTATTCTTTTTGCCCTGGCATCTAAAGACTCAGCTCTTTTTTTAATATTTTGTAGTCATCAATCTTGTGCACAAATTTATAATGCAAATATACTAAATACTATGTTGACAGTAATTAATATCTTCATAATTTCTGGATAGCTTCTGTATTTCATTGCAAAAGCATGGACAGATTATCACATAACTTTTGGGGAATGTGGGGATTCTGAAGCTGCCTGGTGATTTTGTGCATCAGTTGTAACAGAGGAATGTTATGTTATGTGACATAGTAGGGATGACGTACTGTTATTTCTGTGATTTTTTATTTCAGTCACTGACTGTATGATCTGTTGAAGTCAGTGGAAGGCAAAAACAGAAATTGTTTGATGAGATGGTCAAGGTTAGGTGCAATTGTTTGAGAAAATAGTTCAAGTTTGAGGTTAAACTGCTATACCACAGCTGTAGGTAGCTTCCTATTTGCTCTTCTGGAAGGCTTGGTCTGTGGGAGGTGGGAAAAAAAAAAAAAGATTTGTAGAAACTTCACACAAACTGAACATGTTCTAAGGATTTTAATTTATTCTTTTGGGGCACATTTCATTTCTGCAAATTAGAAGAAAAAGAATGCTAATGATAATGAAATGCAAAAAGTGTAGTGCAAAAACTCATTTTCTTAATGTTGTTGCTTCCTTCCTATATATTATTTTTCTTCTACTGTTTTCTTCTTTGTCACAGTCTCAAATGGAAGTAAAAATTAAATGTATTTCAGTTATTTTTTATTATTTCAGTCTTCATTTTATCAACATACCAGTTGCATTAGATGTCTTTCACATGGATACTTCAATTTATATGCTACAAACTCAAATTATGAGCTGGCGGACTAGTGCAGTGACATTTTCCTGAGCTGTCTTTACTGCTACCACACGAGATATTCATTCTCTGCTGAGAGTAAAGAAGAGCTTTTTCATCCTGAGACATCCAAAGTGCCTGTGTTGAGAAGTTAGAAGTTAAATTTTCTGTAGGGTTTTTTTTTTTTTGCTGTTTTTTTTCTTTGTTGTTTTTTGAAGAATAAAGAAATGGATGGCAATTGTCATCTTACTTTTTTAGATCTTTCAGTCAAAACTCTTGAGAATTTTGACAGCCATTAGTAGTGACAACACTTTGTTCTTTCAGGTTTAGATATTTACACAACATGTCTTTTCTTTTCTGTTTTTAGCACAAGAAGAATGGGCCACAACCCGTTCCAGCCTAAAGGCACCTCCTCCAAGGTCAGCCCGAGGGGCTTACAGGGAACACCCCTATGGTAGATATTGAAGGTCCTCCTCATCTGTGACCTCATCTCAAAGACAATTAATAGCCTGTGGTCTCCGCATAAACAGCAACAAGACAAGTAATAGTCAATTTCTTTTCTATCCTAGGGATTACTGATCATTATTATCCTATGTACTACTTGTATTTCCTATAACATTGGAGTGACATTGGCATTAGTATTATTTTATAACACGGACTTAAAAAAAGAAAAAAAAAAAAAAGCAGAAAGAAAAAACCTTTGGCAAGCATTGTCTATAAACCATTCAAAGATAATGTTCTGTTGGTTGTATTCATTGCTGTGTGTAACTTTAAAAGCATGAACCTGTTACAGATCTTGAGTCTCTCTACATACTAGCTAAGGCTGAGTTTTTGTTTAGGGTTGCTGAAAGACTGTAATATGATTCTTTTTTTTTTCCTTTTTTCATTTGAGCCATACAATAATCAAGTTGTAGATAAGATGTTTTAACCTGTCTTTTTAATATATGTTAGTTTAGATTAAGATGTTCGATATTAAGTTTGTAAATTTAATTTTAAATGCTGTTTTAATGGGGTTGAAAACAAGCAGCTACTGTATGTATGTAGCTAACTGAATTTGTTCAGTGTTTTAACCTGTATTTGTTAAAAAAAAATCACATAAAGTTCCATGTGTAAGCTTCTCTAAATAGGAAACCATAATTTTGTCAAATATGTTTGCCATAATTTGTCAATAAAGCTGAAACCTTTTGTAACAAACTAAATTTGGAATTACTTGTTTTCTAGCTTTAAATGCCTGCTTTATTTCTTTTTCAAGAGATGCCTAAAATGTTTTTTATATAAAAATTACAAAAATGAACCCAAGCTTGTTTTAAGATTTTTTTGTGTAAGACTTTAAAAGTTGTATTAATAACTTCTGGTTGTTAAATAATTTAAAAGTTAACAAACTAAACTGTTACATGAATCATGGTTAGTATCCACTAATGTATAACATGTTAATGGAAAAAAATGCTTTAGAACAATAAATGGATTTTAAACTATCCTCTAAGCTTGATCTTGCTAAACACAAACTCTGATTGACTTGTTTGTATTAGCATGTCTCTCGTGAGAATGTAATGGAGTTTAAAGAGGTAAGATTACCACTTACCACTGTTAGACTGTCTAAATGCTAGTTCTTCAACCTTTGAGTTTCCCCGCACATTAAATATCCCATTCAACATGTAAGCATTGCATAGATTCACATATTTGTTTTCACTCGGAAGAGTGCGTTGATTGCATTTTTGTAGTATATATCAATTTGTCTTGATAAACAAATCATCAGTGTCACTGCCCAGTTGTTGGTATTCAACTTCAAAAACTTTATTTGTAATTTTCAGTGCTAAATATCACCGCCCTTGAAGGCAGTTAGAGGGCTGATATTTCTTTTGAGACTATCAGACTTGATGGCTGATGATTATTAAGGAAATATGTCGCAGGACTCAAAGGATGACTAAACGTTAAACAGGTAACACTAATAGTAACTCTGTAATTTTGAGTATGCAACAGTAATGTTAAATATTCTCAGTTATTAAGTTACTGATAGTTAAAAAAGTAAACCTACCAAAAGATAACAAATAGGTATATAGGCTATTAAAATATCTAATTAACATTAACTAGTGACAACAAAATTATTCTGCAATATATAACCCTCAAGGTAATAAACAGAACTAAAATTAGCAATAATAGTAATGCAACTCTTGCTAACAACAAATATATAACCTAAATTTTGATGAAAACAAAACAAGCAAACAAAAACAACAGATGACTTGATGGTAGGGATGCCAAAACTGTTAATCCTTTAAATAGTCTTTTTGTTTACAGTGGCTTTTTGTCAATGTGATTGGTTTACTTTTTTGATGAGAATAAAGTAGTTTGTGAACAAAGTCTCTTGCAGCTGGAGTTGCATGCTAACTCTTTTTGGATAGTTTATGAAGCATATGTTCTGTCATTTGAACCTGATGTGTTAAAGTGAATACAGTAGGCTGTGATGGTTACATTGAGTTTATTCTGTCTCACTGTTTCAGGGCTCTGGACAGCTAAGCAGCCGATCTGCTGAGAAGTGCTCAGGTAAGCTCTTCCACATCTCAGGGTTTTTTTCCTATTTCACGTTTTATCTGTGCATTTCTCTGTACTAACACATAGAAGAATGTTCAGCTCAAGTTTTACAACAAATAATAATTTCCAGCAGTGTTTCCTCACATAACAGCACAACAGTATAATGGTAATCAAAGCATTTGCTTCTGTAAGGTACAATATCTTTCAGTCAAATGGAAGTCTTGTATTCAGATGTTTTGATCATGAATATTAACATGGCATAGCTGCTCTTGCTAAAAACAAGAAATCATGTTTATAAAAAATTTATATTTTGGTAACAAATTAGTCACATGATGTAGAAAAATGCAGTACTGGCTTACTTGTTTCTCCAAATATTTATCATTACTTTGTGTGACAGAAATAGCTGTAGATACATGTCTTCTTTTGCTTAGTAATTATTTCTCTGCTACAGTTTAGAATGGCAGATACCATAATAGCCTTACACTGCAAGAACACGAATCAAGGCAAAATTTGCTGTATTTCTTTGATACAAGTATCTAATGATTAAGGTGTTTGTTTCTATTGTAACCTTGTCACACACAAACTTCAGATTTTTTGTAAGATTTTCAGTTGAGGACAAATGTGTTAGACAAATTGTTGAGACAAATTGTGTTAGAAAAAAAAAACACAAATTGTGTTAGCTGACAAAAAAAGTCAGCTTGGATATGAATTCATCTAAGCTGACTTCACCCAGAAGTGTCCACCAAATCACAACACAAAATGCTCGGTTTTTCTTACTCTCACAAGATTGTTAAACTAGATAAGACTTAAAATAAACAAAACAGATGCTGTTCACTAAATACACAAACCAGACACATGTATCACTCTGGCATCTTTTTCTGTGTTTGGGATCTGGCTGATGTAACATTTTCAGCTATCAAGCGTATTCAATGGTTACTTATCAGCACAGGTTGCATTGTCTAGCAAGATAGATTTTCCTCTCCAATGGGCTGCCTCAAGACCTTGACAAGTTTGATTTACGTAGTACAGCTGCTTTACAGGCCAAGGTGATGTGACTGCATGCTACGGTTGCTTCAGTTTGAGTGTGCCACTACAGTAAAATGCTTCCACCTACCCTCCTTTCACAGAGTTATACAAATGTGCTTCAGTCACTGTATGTTATATCTATAGGTAGGAAAAACACATTCTTCTATTATAAATGCAGTTTCGTACTGATATAACAAATAATAGATTATCATATGCCACAGATTTTACTGTATTTCAGGAAAAACTCATATGCCCTACTAAAATGTGTGATTACACAAAACTCTGAGCTGCCGTACCTGATGTAACTGAGATCCAGGGGTAATTGCATAAAATGAATTTCACTCTTGTGCACCAAGTTTTTGTGTGAGGGTAACTAGTGAAAGCTCCTTGGGAGTGGACTACGGTGCAGACTGTTTTATACCAGGGCATTGTCCTTTAGCACTACTGTCTCAAAAGTCCACTTTTACAGCTATTATTTATGAAGATTGAAAAAATTGCAGAATGTATGAGTAAAATGATGCATTCTAAAATATTCTTGTACAAGATGAATAAGAAAAAAAAATGGAGATAAGTCAGTGAAAGCAGCTGCTTATGCAAATATTTGTTCTATTCCAGGAAATTAGCTTGAAAAATTATCCATGACTGCACATGCTGTTCTGTGCTAACTGCAAGGTATATTTCACATCAGTTTTGGGAGAAAGCTAATCAATGATGTTGTCTTAATAAAAAGTCCATCTTCTTAATTTGTAACAGAGTAAGAAGGGACTGTCCTAATTAAGTCATCTATGGGTCTTACATAAAAAGCTCCACCAAGTCAGCCATAATTCTGAGTTCTGAAAACTTACAGACATCAGAAGACAAAGAAGTGTATTTGTGATACAGTTAATTCCAAGACACTAATCACCCACCAATATGGTTTCAGATAGCAAATTGTTTTCTATGTAATAGGAAGATGAATTAACATTCAATATCAAAACCATGTTTTAAAAAAGCCTGTATTTTTTTGTGCAGGTTGACCCCATCTGTGGTACAGTTTGATCGGTAAAATTAATGAATGCATTATAATTCTCAGTACTTAAAACAGCAAAATATATTATTTTACAAAATTATATTAAAATGTTCATAATTGTACTTCTTTGCAGTCAAGGTAAATATTAATTTAGTTGTTTTCTTTTTAAAATGGACTTGTCAAGTTTTTTAAAATGCCGTTCTTTCAAGAAATGATAGATGGTAACAACACTTATTGCACTAAATAAGTTGTTTTTTGCATTATAAATGCATGGCGTGCACATTGCAAAAATTGTAATGAATAGAATCCATGTGCCAGTTTTAAAACTCTTGATTTCTGGAGTCTCATTATACAACTGACAGTTTGCAGTGCTGAAATGATGATCAGATAGTGGTATAGTGATAGTATTTGTCACTTATGTCATACTGGCACAGCTTCACTTGCCAGAGAGGGAAAGCAATTTTCAAGGCTATATAGAAGCAGAGTCAGAAGAAAGCACAGAGTGAGTAAGAGCATTGTCACTTGCTGGAGCTGATTCCACAGAGATGCACCAGAAGGGACAGGCTCCTGGAAAAATAACGGATCAGGAAATTCACGCTCCTGGACTACTTTGTCTTGTGGACTTGCTGCATGTATTCAAGGGCCATTCTAACCAAAACACTTCGATGTTCTAGAGTAGCAACCTTTATTAGAAAATGAAGTTGCACCATGGATCTGTTCTGTTACTTTTTTTACCATGAAGATCATCTGACATTGTTTAAAGATCTTAAAGCTTTTTATGAGTAAATGAATAACCTTTTTTAAGTATAACATATGTGACCTCTCCTCAGAGAATATAGACAATATTATTGTAGCTCCCTGAGGTCCTCAGCCCCCATTCAGAATAATGGTACTATGGCCATATTCCATACTGCACGTGCTTCATTCAGTCTACAGTGCAGCAATAACTAGTCCATTATATTTGAACATGTGCTGATTTCCAAAACTGAGTAACACTGTCAGTGAAAGTATATGAGTAAAACTAATCACAGTGGCAGTGATAGCTCCAAAAGAATAGATGTAAAATCCTGGTCAGTAAGAACTGCAGGATTGAAGAGTCTGTGTCTTCCTGCAACTAGGGATCCTGGTTGCAGCAAGGACTGAGGTGAGCTTCAGGAATTTACTAAAGAAACCAGCTTACCATTAAAATTAATGTACATACGTGAGTGATACATACATAATGAACATACATGAGTGCACTGTGTAAAAAGACTTGACATTTTATCACGAGAATATCATGAGAAGGAAGAATATGGGCCAATTAGGAAAAGAAGTCTTAAAAAGCTTTCCATATTGTATTCTATTGACTTGCAGAAGGACCAAATAAGGTTACCAACACTGTATACATCATTGTTTTCTGTACAACCTATTCAGTGCATTTCCTTTCTTTTGCGGGAAAAAAAAAAAAAACAAACTTTTTTTCTTCCAAAATATAACCTGAATTTTTGTAATCCTATTGAACTTCAGTTAATGACCTGAGAATGGAAGAAGATTAAGTTGTTTTGGGAAAAGATCATACAGGTCTTATCATAGAATACCTCCATCTTGTATGACAAAGAACCCTATTCCAGAACAAATGTATCACAGTGGCAGAGTTCATCTGTAGATGCATTTTATCAAGGTAGGAAAAAAAA